GTTGGTCAATGCCTCTAGCTCTTCAACAATGGTAGCATTGACCAATCGATCACGGCGATCCACATAGATACTAGCTGCCAGGTGCACGGAATAAGGTACCAACTTGGAGAAAAGCGCTGGGCCAAGCTCACCGCGCTCTCCTAACATGGAGTTGGACTCAGCTATCTCCTTTGGAACTCTTGACACAACCATGTTGGCTCGATCGAGGATTTTGAGCTCTGCTTTTGGCGGTACGGGTAGCAGGTAGATCATATCGTTGTCTTTCTCGGCCCGCTTCAGGTCTTCCGTGATGCGGTTCTTCAAGCCGTTCAGGTCTGCAAGTACGACCTTGTTGATGTAGCGCTGCTCCTTGAGAGCCTCGTTCACGCAAGTCAGACTATCACGTAGTCGTGCCACTTCCTCGCCGTACTTGCGCTTTTCGAGGGAATCGCAGGCTGCACGGTATTGAGCAGCAGCAGCAAAGTGGTGGTGCTTTGCCGTCATGTGGTGTATCCACTCGCTGCTTATAGCGTCCGATTGTATCCCAGCGTCTCCCGCCTCGTTGTAAAGATCAGATACACGAGCGGCTAGTTTGGCGATAGTCGCGTCTTTCATTCCATCCTTGACAGCCTTCTGCCAGAAACATTCTTGCCCTTGTGCCAACATCAGCTTTTCCAAACACTCGAGTGTCATCAAATCCATATCCTCTGGCGGCTCTGTCCGTATCTCGGGCAAGATGGTATTCCTCAAATGCGACAAGACTCCAGCGGCGAGGCAGAAGTTGTTGGCTGCCATCTTCAGTCCGTCGGGCGTGCTTCGGTTCGACGACATGGCTAGCTGCGAGTACATGGCCGCAAGGTTGAACATGATGTTGGCGAGTTCGAAGCGAAGGTTGTTGCGCGATGTCGGCCGGCTCGTATTGTATCCCAGCGCAGGATACCATGGGAACTCTACGCCAATGTCGATGGGAAACTTCCCACTCAGCCATATCAGCTGCGCCGCGTATTGTTGAAGCTTCGGGATGTTGCTGGGATGCGGTTCTTGGGCGTGTGTTGCAACCGAACGTAGCTTCTCGATCGTCTCCAGGTCTTTGGTGAACATGTCTGGATGTTGGTCATATTTGGAGGATATGTACTGCTTGATCGCGTCGGTGAGATTTACCGAGTGTGACCGTCGGAACGGGAGGAACAGGATGTTGCTGGCCATTTGGTAAATTTTATCGTGTTCTGCCTGGCTATTTTTTACTCACAAGGCCATAGGAAAGAGGTGTTCGGCGTTGTTTACACAAGTCCAGTGGGAAGACGTCACCGCCCGCAGCAAGGTCCAAGCTGTTGGGCATAGGTGAGCGATGCAGCTTGAGCCCCGCGCTAGCTAACGTGGGGCGGGCGCCTTCTCAGGGTTCATTCACCTGCAGGAACAGGGCCCAGCACATGCGACATTTCCTATACCAGCATCGATATTGTATGAATCTGATGCGTGTTCTGCCATCTCAGGCGGCGCCTTCGTCTTAGAGAACGTGCGCTGATACGACGACACCCGGGGCGGAGACGAGTTCGGTTTTTCCCGCCGTGGAAACCGAACCATTCGAAGCCTCGCGCCAGCCAAGTATTGAACACTCAGCGCGTTGAAGTATGCGCGACTTGTAAAACCGAACGCGGCAATTTACGAGTCACAGGATCAAGGACACAGTGTCCTGACGCGAGGGCATCAGCGATCAAACCAAATCGTCCGCTCCCGGACCCTCAATGAGCATGTTTCATGCCACCAAATTGTCGGCACGTCAAACGAGATGCGGTCAGTGTACATGGCTGAGGCGCGCCGGGTTCCACAACCCGGAATGTCGTGATGGAAGCTCGATATGTCAGCGGGGCGCGACCACAATCTATAACAATCTAGCCGAATTACAACACCATCTTGAAACCTGCGCTTCCGTTGTTCGTCAGGTCCATCCGCTAGTGAGTCCTATATATACCAGTCACCACTGCTCTTCACAGTTATCGACCAAATCCAACTACTACGCCACATAAAAGCCCCACGACCCGCACTACGCTTCGGACATACTACTAGCAACATCATTCTATAACTTCGCACCACATCTACAACCTACAAAATGACGCACACCTACAAGTTCAACGTTGCCATGAGCTGTGGCGGCTGCTCCGGCGCCATCGAGCGCGTGCTCAAGAAGCTCGATGGTCAGTCTTCCTTGCATTATCTGTGCGCTGCGATATGCAGCATGTGCCAAAACCCATGCGAAATTTGCTCTAATCATGTCGCAGGTGTTGAGTCCTACAATGTATCGCTCGAGACTCAGACCGCCGAGATTCAGGCAGCCGACTCGCTATCCTACGACACCGTCCTCGAGAAGATCAAGAAGACTGGCAAGACCATCAAGTCTGGCGAGGCTGATGGTGAGGCCAAGGACATCTAGGCAGCGCAACGTACCGATCCACGTACGACGACTTTCTGATACAATTCTTTTTGGGGGAACGAGCGATGGACATCACGGTCGTGTTTACGAGCAAGCTCTGTGCTGCCGCCACGGCCCTCTACATCTGGAGCGATTTTACAAATACCGCGATTGAATGAAGGATACCCTTACCACATACATCTGCCTTGCTATGTGACGTGAACTGAGCTTGCTTTCTGGCTCGATTAGACCTGTTGCATCATTGTTGCAAGACTGTTTGATCTAACTAGGAGATAATACCAACCTATCAACAGTGATGCACATGCGCCATCATAGTCCTACAGCGTCGCGGCATCTCGGTGTTCCACCAGATTGCTACTGCCACAAGCGGTGCGCAGACGTCACATGCCACGAGTTGAAGCCGGGTCGCCGCTCCCTTGTCGAGAAGCCACCGTGTCCAAGCTCACCCATCGCTATTCCATTTGCTATCTTTGTCGCAGTCAAATTTCCGGCACTGATGTAATCCCACGACATCTGACCAGCAGAGTCCAGTTCCTTAGCTCTAAGGCGCTTCGCCGAACCTCTTAGCCTCAAGCTCCCTCCAAACATCTCCGACATTTCCCTTTAACTCCGCTCACAGCCACCGCCTAATCATCTTTGAGATGATTGAATGCGTTCAAGTGCTTACTCACATCTCGGCGCACCCGTTGCTCGTGCCGTCTACCGAATGCGTTCATCCGCTGGTATGGAAGCGAGTTGCGATGCCTGGCAGCCTCTGCACGCCAGTATACGCAATGGCAACAGACAACCACATTTCAAGTTGAGCAACTATCATCACCCAAAGACATGTTCAACTCATCTTGAATGAAAAGCGATGCATCAAAACCGTCATACGCCCACGTGACGCCTTGTTATACGAGAGCATGGGTGTGGTCGGGAACAGTCGGTTCGCGAGCGGCTTCTAACCGGACTAAGTCAGCAAGCCTCCAAGGGGCTGAGCTCCGGGCCTCACCAATGCAGATCGGCAGTACAGCGAAGATGTTCCAAGTAAGCGCGGGATGCGTATCCGTATGACGCTTGAGTATAGCATCCACTACCCTTGTCACTGCTACCTTGGATTCAGTCATGCAGAAGGGCCTACAGGAAAGGTCATATAAAAGCCGTCCTGAGGCCACATGGTGAGAACATCGCACACTGCCAGCTCGCCCGATCAGGAACAAATCTATCTGTTTATTTCTAATCTCCACTCATTCATACTATCTGTTATATATCCTCATGCCGTCTCCACCTAGAAGCTCAATATCGTTTCCGAGTTCGGCGGATCTGTTCTACTTCTGCACGACATCGTCGACCTCTGAAGAAGACCTCAACATCCACTACGCACCTCCGTCAAGCTCCTCGTTACGCATTGGTGTCATTGTTCTCGGTAACGATCAAGTCCAACTAGCCGATCTAGCCGCTCTCGACCTGCTCGCCATGGTCGGAAGGAACAGAATCTGCAGAACGAACGCCACAGCAGTAGCCATGGAAAACGCCGTGGACGAAGTCGACATTCGATATGTCAGTGTGACCGGGGAGGGGAGTTTTCCTGTCACGGCTGGCACGCGAATGCCGGTGACGGTGAGCTAAGCTTCGAATTGCTCCACATCGAAACACGAACAACACGACACCCATACATCCCCCCGTACAGCCAACTCCTTTGGCCAAGAAGAGCCAACTTTTTGGTCGTGCTGGATTCGCCTGGTCTTGGCTGCCTTTCACAAGTAGTCATCTCTGACAGTCTGGCAGGGAGGTAAAGGTTAACACACGCCCCTGTTCCTACCCATCATTCGCACTAACATCCTCTCGGGTACTGTGACTGACGTCTACCCAGAACTCATTTGCAAACGCGCCTCAATTCGACATTCTCTTCATCCCTGGATCCTTCTCGTCAAGCGAGTTGCCGGTGGAGGCGACCTCATTTCTCACCTCACAATGTCTGAACCCCAATCTCATTGCCATCATGAGCATTGCTTCAGGCATATGTCACCTCGTACAATCGGGTATCTTACGTGGAACACGAGCTGCAGCACCTAAGCCTTTGCTTCCCGTTCTCCAGCAGCAATATCCCGAAACGCTCTGGCAGCGCTCAGCCTGGGCTCGACACGAGAAAGTGTGGACAAGCAATTCGTCTGTCTCAGCGCTTGATATGGTTTCGACATGGATGCGCGAGTACTTTTGGGATAGAAGCCAGGCTGTTGAGTATGTTCTTACAGCCGCGGGCTTGGGATCGCTCTACGATTATGATCATTGCGACTACTGATGATTTCATGACATGGTATGGGCATTACAAGGCGTTTTGTGTGGTACGATCTCAACTCTGTATAACAAAGTCCTTTGTTTGGCGTATATAAGGTACTTCCAGATTTTATACAGATATATGAGAAATTTTGACTTCAGATGGAACTCGTATGTTCATGGCCCAGCTCACATGTAAGCTTTCTGATAGCCATCTAGAGCCAGATTCGACTGGCCTTCCCCTTGCGCATAGCCCTCGCTACATTTGAAAAACTCAATTTTACTCCATCTTTCTCCTACACAAGATGCACATCCCTGTAGACCCCAAGTATTCCTACCCAATAGAATGCATAGCCATCGCCATCGCCCTAGCCTGGTCTTCATTCCGCCATATATTCTTCTTAGCTTTCATCTTCAGCCTAAGCTCAATAGTAGAGTCAGTACTGAAACTATACCGAACATTGGCTTCGTACAAGTAGGGTCCAATATCGTCCTCGCTAATGCCGTTGGCTGGCGTAATGGCCACGTCGGTGATTTGATCGATGTTGAGATGTGTAGTCGACACAAGCAAGGCGTCTATGTTCGAGCCATCGATCGTGTCGTTGTCACTGTTTAAACTCATTGCCTCTGAGGTTAGGGAGAGATAATGCGATGATAGACTGCTTGCTTCTCCCATCGTAAATAGAACGTCACCCCCTCTCATATTGACGACAGGCTCGGCAATTACTTCAGTCTGTGCGTGTATTCCTTCTAGCCATTTCAGCGTCGCAGCATCTGGGTTATCGAATTCGTAGCATGTGTTCAGTCTATCTTGATATGGGGATCCGGGCGTAGGGCTTAGTGGGAGTACCTCTCCGTCGTCGCGGCGGACGAAGCATCTACCTTCACTGTCTGGCAGATCAAACCGTGTTTGCGGCGCGCCTACTGCACCACTGGTCTAAATGCAAACGCGCGAGATTAGTATATGTCTCACATGCAGTTTATAGAGGTATGCTTACAATGGCGAAAGTATGTTCCGGTTGTTGGCTCACGGGAAGGAGAACTGTTGACGCTTTAGGTGACAATGAACGTGCACGAGGTCCGCTTCTAGCGAACCCCGGATGTTGAAGCCGTGTCGCACCTCTTAACCGAGTAGGGTGAAGGTTCGTGTCTGCAGTTGATGTAGCGGAGGATCCACCTCCGCGCAGGCCTGTAGGTGCGATGTCTCCCGGAATTGCAATTTCTTTCAACCTTCTTCCCCACCTTCCACCCCATTGCTTGTGCTTCGATTCCTTGACTTTGTTTACTCTTCTGCCTCTCGGGTGCTCCCAGCCCCTGTTATCACGCTGTGTCTGACCACCTCTGCTACTCGGTGGCTGAACGCCAGCAAAAGTCGTCTCCGAGCGGGGTACTTGAGTCGATATGAGCATCCCTTTTGCCGCTGTAGAGAACGATTTACCATTTCTGGGCCATCCAGTAGCATCTGCTCCCAATCCTGGTGGTTTCTTCTCTTGGTACTCCATCAGAGGATGCCGTTTCGAATACGTCTTGTATCTCGAGCCTGAAGGCGCAGCGAGAATCGAACGACTGATTTCCCCTGCTTTCGAAAGAACTGTCTGCAAAGGGCTCTGACTTATGACAGGAGCTGATTCAGCAACTCCTGGTGTAGATACGATAGAAGGGTAGCCGATGGTAAGGTACTGCGCGTTCCGCTGTTGGGGTGCAACCTGAGCTTTAGCTGTGATATGGCCATAGCGAGGGAGATATCGCGATGGCGTAGGTGATCCAGAAGGGCGACGCTCACCCGAGACTGCCATACGCTCTAGGTCGTGCCGTCTGTCGGTTGATTCGCGTCTCATGACCGCAGTAAAGCTATCGTCCAGCACTGTTGTGCTCAGATCAGGCTCTCGCCGTCGCAGTTCCTCTTGTAGTCTTACGTTCACATCACATAGCAATGATGATGCTCGGCAACTGTCATCGTCAGAACTTTCGAACACGTCGGCTTCGGATGAATCGGCTCGCTGGCATCTGGGTGGGTTTGGCATTGGGAGTATAGGCGGCGGAGGAGGACGTTTTCTGGCCCACCTCTTGTTGTCCCTTGGGTTTACCACATGACTTCGCAGTGTAGCATCAGTACCTTGATGTTCTTTTGACTCCACGTTGTTCCATAAAGCGAACTTTCTACTCGCAACTGGATACGAAGGGCTCATGGAGTGACACGTCTCATTCTCACCTGTCGTCGCACTTTGAATATTCGGTGGTGCCAAGATTTTGTCGATTCGAGGTGACCGCGGTCCATCTCTTATTGGTAGAGACATTTGAGGTCCAAAATACTGATCAAAGACTGCCTCGGTACAAGCCCTACGGATAGAGCTATCGTTCGTATCTTCAGAGTCCGGAGTATCCGAGCCTTGCCTTGTGCCTATCTCTTTGAAGAGTTGGCCATCTCGCCTTGTGTCAACGGTAAATGATCTCCCTGGCGTCTCTTCTGTTATCTTGTCAATCTTGCCAGCACGAATGATCGGGAACTGCGATCGCACACTTTGCGGTGCTCGACTTTCCGGAAGTTCAATATAGTGGATCGGAGAAACAACTCGAAGAATACCCTCCTTGTCGACAGATTCTTGTAAAGAAGTAGAACCAAAGGGTTGACCAATCTCATTGGTGTCAGTTGTCTTCCAGAACGATTTGGAGTCGTTCCAGCCTCCACCACGAAGATGTACGATAGGTGACGAGATATCCGGTTCAGAGTATTCCTGACTGTCCGATACGACCCGTTTAATAGATGATGTTGGTGGGGAATGTGTCGTCAAATAGTCCCGCTTGTTCGAAGCTATGTAATTGCCATAAGCATCCCTCCCATTGCTCAACGGAGACATTGGACATATAGGCCGAGAGAAAGGGCTTCCTGGTGGTGTATATTCTCTGTTTCCAGTCGACGGAGACATTGGTGGAAAGAGCGAGAGATTGACATGTCTCGAAGGGAAGGGGCGATCAGAATTGCTGGTGGCCTGCCTAGGGGAGCCTGGCTCATCAGAACGAGGGCTGAGAAGCCCTTGTGCGAGGCAACCCGACGCATTTGTATCCATCTTCTCGGCACTGTAGTCGGAGGGTGGTAATGTGTTGTTGGAGCAGATGGCGTGGTTCGTGCGGGTCACAGAAGTTGTGCCGTCGTAACTTCCTCGTAGAGAAGGCACGCATTCCCGCACCCCAACTTGCCCGAAAAGCCCCTCACTTGGATCTCCCGTAGCGTTTCGACTATAATTAGTTGAAGCTGTCGAGGATATCTTTAATGGATCTGATCGTAATATCTTTGGGTAACCATCGCAGTAGCTCACTTTGGACTCAACTTCACTGGAGCACATGTCTCCCAGAGTATTACCTGTTTGCCTTCTCTCGGTCGTCGTATCGGTCTTTTTCCCACTATCCCAGCATGAAGATTCTTTCTTGTCATTCATGTTCTTGCCGTCCAGAACTGCACTGACTAAACTCTGTGTTTCCGTCAACTCATGATCAAACTCTTCGAGGAGATTCAGAGAAAATGGAAACGATGGGGCGCCCTTATAGTTTGTGGATATAGAACGAATAGCGTGCAACCTTTTCTGATATGCTGATCCATTTCGTAGGTGGCTGCGGATGGGAATAGGCGGGGGCATTATATGTGGCTCTGCAGGAGCTGTACAATGGGCCATGACGGTGGGATGTCGACAAAAACGCCAGGATCGTCAATGCGAGTCACATAAAAAGGATATAGCCTGGCAAAGGGTGTGAAGTTTAGGACGTGAAGCATGGACAATTCAGAGAGGGATGACCTGCATGACTGTGGGAAGCACGGTTTGTGGCATGGGCGTTTGTCACTTCAACATATGTGAATCCGGCCTCGGTGATCTGCGTGTAGACACGTCGACTCACCGTCATTGGTGGTGATCAAGACTCGAATGTATGCAGTGCTGCGTTTGCGACGTTGACCGCCATGTTGACATGCTTTGCGCAAGGGTCTGATAAAAGTATACATGTTAGGGGCGTTGTCATAGGTAGTGGTATATTTACACAGTCATATAGTTGGTTACCTCGATCAAGTGTTAAATGAGCTTGTACTTGCGAGAACCTATAGAAAATCAACCGTATTGTCCTACAAACGCCAAAGCTTTAATGCTGACAATGCCCGAAGATGCTGTCGTGTATGTACAGACGTATAAACAAGCAGAACAGGAGTGCTCACTAGGATATCTCCACTCCTAACCCACGACTAAACGCCACGTAATATGCCCATCGGTTCATGTGAAGTGGAAGCCAAGACCCAGCTGTCCGCCATCACTCGGCTTCATGTTCTAGTTTCTTACCCTCGTTCTTGAGTTTCTGGTGTACGGCCTTGAGCGACTCGAATGTTAACATGGTCGTGACCGCCGCAGGTACAGCGCGGACCATGTTAGTACCCATTCCGTTGTAAAAGGCTCTCCATCCCTCTTCTTGGAGGATGACGGTGCATGTTCGCAAGATACCGCGATACCTCGGTAAGTTTATCATACCATCCGACGAAGCTGTGCCTGGTGGGCGAGTGTGAAATCGGTCGTGTTGGCCTCCCCGGAACGATACATGGTTGTCCGAGTGCGAGGGTAGCGACCGTTGCTGTGTCTGCAGCCGAGTGCGTAAGACCTCGTGTGGGTACGTCGCAGAAGTCGCAGTCATTTTGCTCAAGACTGTTGCCAATGCAATAGCAAACCAGTGCACGTCTTCTGTCTTGGCGTCTGTCTGGCCCATCTCCAGACCGGTAAACTTCATCTTGAGAAACTCATATAGCGGGAATTGAATAGCGACGTGGGTGAGGCCAAGCAGTGCAGGTGTAAGGCCTGAGTAGAAGGACATGATGCCTTCCTTGAGGTACATCTTGCGAAAGGCATCAAAGGTGCTTGTGTAGTGCCACGGCGGCCGGTGTTCGGGCGAGGCGCGGGCGCTGACTTGGGACATGAGCCTTGTCTTGATGACCCATATGGGATTTGTGACTAGCGTCGAGCAACCACCAGCGAACAAAGAGGCGATGGTCCTGGCCAGCCATTTATTTTCTGTAGATTGAATCTTGTCAGCAACTGGAACTCGGACGCCGAGTGCACTACTAACCCATCTGAGGATAGAGGACGTTTTTGGTAGATTCATAAGTGCTCATGTAGACAGCCCAGGTTGGAATGTATCCGAGCAGCATGGGGCCGAGTCCTCGGTACAGGCCGCGCATGCCATCCTCGATCCATATGACTCGTGCGGTGCCGGTCAGGCCTTTATAAACTGCGCGCGTTGGGCCAGTATATGTCCTGGGGCGAAAAGAGCCCTGCGCCTGCAGGCGGGTCTTGATGACATCGAGCGGGCACGTTACAATGCCCGAGGCAACTCCAGCAGAAGCTCCGCACAGTGCATTGACGGAGCTATCGGGGAGTTTGGAGACCCTGACGGCGAGAGCGGTAATGGGCGAACTCCACGTACTGTGCGTGTTTGAGGATGACATATCTCGCGGTTCAACTGTCGCGGCGGATGGCGCATACCGATCGGGAACTTTAGTCGGGGACGGCGGCTCGGAATCAGTGGTGGACATTAGGGATACTGCAGTCGTCGACTTGTTAGGGCCATTCGCGCCAAGTGCGGAGACAGAGGGTGCATGCATACAGGCCGTCGTCCCCTTTGCGGTGCCTCAGTGTTGCGGAAACCCCGCAGCACTTGAGTAACACGATGACTAGCGATTGTTCGGCTCCATTGACAGGCGGACGGAGTGTGAGGAAGTCGCGGAGGGGATGGTCGTCGGTCAGCCTTTGCCCGGTGCGTGTGTGTGTGCGCGAGGAAGGCTGAGGGGTTGCGTTGCGGTGCAGAGCTGGGTTCGTGGATCAGACGTCAGAGCTAGCGTGGAGCACGAGTGAAGTTGCTTTGGTGGGTGGAGACCAGGCGCTGATTAAGGCGAAGGCCTTCTGCGGGCCAAGCGCTGCCCGCCGGCCTATTGGCTTTCGCTTCTTTCGCATTACGACCTCACCACCTCCGACCGTCAAAACTGCAATTGACGACAGCACCCGCCTGCGACTACTCGAATCCGCCGTCGAACAACCGCAACCATGTCTGCCCCGTCTCTCGCCCCCTACATCATGAAGCGGCCGTGGCTGCAGAAGTGGATGAAGCCGCTGGCCAACTGGTACTGCAACGCCGCCGGCTACAGGCAGCTCGGTCTGAGGTACGGAGCCCCCGATACGCATACGGCGTACAGAGCAGGATATACGGATGCTGTGGAGAGAACAGCGGGCTGCGAACCGATGGGCTGACGGGATCCATGATGCAGGGCCGATGACTTGCTCCCCGAGGAGAACGATGTCGTGCAGACTGCCCTGAAGCGTCTCCGACCACAGGAAGCCTACGACCGTGTCTTCCGTCTGCGCCGAGCTTTCCAGGTACTGCCGAACCAGATATTCAGGACACGGCAAGCGTCGCTAATCTACGGCAGCTCTCCATGTCCCACCAGCTCCTGCCCAAGGAGGAGTGGACCAAGGCTGAGGATGTACGAGTACCGCCACTACCATCAACACCAGACGCTGACAATGCACAAGGACACACCATACCTTTCCGAGCTCATCACCGACATCGAAGCTGAGATGCACGAGCGCGAGGACCTCGAGGCTATGGTTATCCAGAAGAGGCAGAAGAATGCCGCCGCCAGCAGTGGACACTAGACTGTACATATCGAGTCTGGCATGATCAATTTGAAGCTTGGTGGATCGAGTCTGAGGGCTGCGCGATAGAGTGTACCATACCAACTTTTTTTGTACAGGACTCATCTCCATCAGAGTATACTTGTTCGTTTTCTCTCTATGCGCTTTCATGCGCTTCTACAAGCCTTGGCACAATCGCAAGTTGGTTTGTCTTATTATGTGCTAACAATGACTTCTTTTGGACGGTAACGGCATGACTCCAGTGTATGCGCCTGGCAAGCGTTGACAAAGCGCAACAAGCTCGGCATATGTGGTGCTTCTTCATCTATCCATTGTAGCAAGAGAAATGAAAGGCCAAGTCTGTATACGTTACAGCCACATGTGTTCATGCGTCCCTTTCTTATGTCATGCAATTTCTCGATACCCAATTATCAGGGACAGGAGGTACCAAGTGCGCGGCCAAAAAGAACAGAGATGGAATGGGTGTAACATGCAGTGCACATCATACGAGACGGATTTACTACAGGCCGTTATGAGAAGCGGACCGTGTGTCGATCGCTTCAAACGAGAATGCCGAGTGTCAGGGTTCCGGATATGTCAGCGCCACGCTATCATGTGCTCAGGCGTCAGCTCAAGCGCATCGCGTCAGTCTCTCAATCCACGCAACCAACAACACTCTACATGATTCACCAAATTGTATCAACAGCAACAGTATTAAAGCAGACGGTACGTTGTCGCAACCTTGTTCCCATCATATATCCTAACCAGATGACGTCAGACCTCCCTATTCACGAGAACGACTAACATTCTGTACAAACCTCAAAACATGTCTCTGAGACGCTCAGCTCGCGTTGCAAGTAATATCACGCCAGTACCATTGGATGTCAAAGCCCAGGACAGTGTTGCGAAATACGAGAAAGTCAGCAAAGCGAGTGTACCTGCGAAGAAGCGCAAAACCACAAAGGCGCCTGCCAAAACATTACCCGATGCAACCAAGAGCGAAAGTACTACCAACGGAGCAGAAAGCTCGGATTCAGTGAATCCAGCGTCATTCCTACCAGCAACGCCCCTACGCAAGAAGCGCAAAGCGGTATCGAAGTCAACATCAGAACCAGAATCGCCACTAAAACCACCATCGTTCACACCAACACCTGCTGGTGCCAGCATCTACTCCTCTACGTCTTCATTCTCTCCCCCTAACCCCACCACTCGACCAGCAGCTCCTCATACCACAAACGCCAATTTGGCCACTCCAAATGGCTCGCACGTGGTGCAAGCCTACGCCTCGTCTCCTGCAAAACCCGCTGACCCTTCGCCTGCCAAGAAGCGAAAAGCAAAAGAGATTGTCCCGCCGGATGTTGGTGCCATCCCCCCCGCGAGCACGGACATAGATAATCTGTTGAAAGACGCAGAGGAGTTTCTTATCAAGACAGATTCTAAATTAGAAAGAGTTGTAAGAGGACACAAGTGTGAGATTTTTAGTCCAGATGGATTGAGAGAAGTAGTGAGGCCGTTCGAGTCGCTGGGAAAGGGGATTATTGGACAGCAAGTAAGTACGGCTTGGTAATACTGTTTTTCATTAGGAAAATTGAGGAGAAATATGCAGAACGAATCGCTGCAGACCATTATAAAGAAGAAGAGTCTGGACGTATGTGTATGACTAACAATCTACCTATAGGTATCAGGCCAAGCAGCCGCATCAATTCGTGCAAAGTTTACTGCTCTCTTCCCTGAGACACACCCTTCTTTTCCTTCTCCCGCCCAGGTTCTCACCAAAGATATCCCTACATTGCGTACAGCAGGTCTCTCCCAACGCAAAGCAGAATATATCTATGGAATCGCCGAGAAATTCTCTTCCGGTGAGCTCTCCGCTGAGATGCTGGTTAGTGCTAGCGATGAAGAGCTCATCGAGAAGCTAGTAGCGGTGAGAGGATTGGGACGATGGAGTGTAGAGATGTTTGCTTGTTTTGGGTTGAAGAGAATGGATGTTTTCTCGACTGGAGATCTTGGTGTACAGTGAGTTATTTCCCTGTTTTGGAGAATTCGTTGAACAAGATGATTGACGTGTTTGCAGACGAGGCATGGCCGTATACGCAGGCCGTGATGTAAACAAGCTCAAGAACAAGGGTGGGAAGTGGAAGTATGTACTCTTCATGTAGTTTCATGTATCGGGCAGTCCACTAAACGCAAAACAGATATATGACCGAGCAAGAGATGCTCGATATGGCTTCCAAGTTCAAGCCATACAGGTGCGTTTATCTCTACCGCAAACTCTTCTTTACACACACACGTTAACCCATCTCCTTGCTGCTAGGTCGCTCTTCATGTGGTACATGTGGCGGATTGCCGATGTGGATCTTACTGTTCTGCAGAAGACTTGATCAACAGGAAGTGACCATTGTGCTGGGTCACATTGGTCCTTGCGGTAGGACAAGCATGTACATCATGTGGTCTATGTGTGGTGGTGGGGTGATGTACTGCTGGGTAGAGGTGGGGCGTGGGTCGCGGGCGGTACAGGCCGTTTCCCCGCTGGGCATAGAATACTTGGTTTATGGATCAAACATCTCGTAGAGTGCCCGTCAACACTTGTGGTTTATTCGATGCACAAGGGTTTGTTGCTCAAATGAAATACCCAGACAAGAGGTTGTTATGGCTCGTAGGCGCATGGAAATTGTCATTCGATATCTTTCTGGTTGAATATCGATAACATGTCATACTATTCTGGTATGCTTGGCCTCGAATGTCCACAGCAAGTTGGCTTCAGAAGCAGACAATGCCAAATGCATGCTGCCATTGTGTTCCTCTGTTTGGTTGTTTCCGTTCGTAATGGCAATTCATGCTTGCACCCAGCCAAGCGGGACGGCGTTTGCATGACAGCAGCCATCGCTGGCAGCCTGCAACGATCTTAGTGCACCATAATAGTGGTAAGACGACCATATGCGCTGAATAGTTCGTCTTCGGTCTGGATTGTGTTCCTCTCTTGCCATTGAGAAGCGCTTTGCCTGACGCTGTGTACAAAGTACTTGTATGTTGGTTTGCATACGACAAGAGAAGAGAACACTCAACGACAAAGGTGTATACAGGTCAGGGGGCGAACGGTGGTTAGATGTAAGTTGTGACTGCACGAAATATACGTGGGACATGTGTTGACTTCTTATCCCTACCTCTGCAGTGATACAGAGCACAGGATTGCAAAGCTAAAGTAGCCTTCTCGGCAACATCGGATCAGTTTTGATATGTACGAGATGCATACAGCACCCATGTGCACTTCATGGTCTATAGCTTGGCTCATCGCGCTATGGGTGAAGTTTATAGTGAAGCGACTTCGTTAGGTAGTAGGTCAGTTGTTGACCACTAGAGTTTGCGGCTGAACTTACTCAGTTTTCTAAATTCTCCCGGTTGCGGATCTACGACGCTGGAATTCCCGATGTTCTTCCAGCCGTCATCTGTGGAGGCACATGAAACGGACCCACCAATCGGCCGGATAGTTTTGTACCAGTGACGCCGCGCAATGAGATGAACAACAAAACGACACGGATCAGGGAAGGTTGCAGCGAATATCTCATTTTGGAAGAAGTAACCTGACAAGCGATGTCGACCACACTGACGTTGAAATGATAATAAGTTGGGTTGGTCTACAGAGTTGCTCGATTTGAGCGTCGCGCCTGGGTAGCTGCAAGCATTAGAAGAATGGCAATGTCGATAAGCAATGGGTAATTCTGGAAAAATCCGGGCACTGAAACAGTAGCAAATGCCGACGTCATATTAGCTGATGGCAGCGACACATGAAGCTGGGTGCGTGCCGCGTGGGTGGAGAACAGAAGCCTGAGGCTGGAAATGAGAGACTAATCAATGCGCGTCAAGCAAATAGCTTGGCCGGATGGATCAATGGTGAGGCTGTTCCTCGGGGGGACGGTCGATAAGCGAGCCGGTTCATCGCAGGAGGATGCGGAGAGCTGGAATAGCGAAATGAGTCAACAATGCAGGTCTGCTGGGCGATATGGACATAAAGGGGAGACGGGTAGACGAGGCTCAAAGCAGTCAGCAAGCTCGACTAGGCAAGCTCGAGAGGTAAATATAACAGTTGCTTTTATTGTTCGGCGTTGGGGTTGGGGCTCGAGAGATTGCAACGGCTGCGCTTTGCCTAAAGCGGATCGGATGTAACCGCATTGAAACCATTGGGTAGGAGCTCGTGCCAGGGTGGGCAGGGGTGGGGGACATGGTCAGAGGCCGCGCAATTCACGGTTGCTTGTTGTGTTTCGAGTCGGCCAGACGGTGGCAAAAGAAGAGCTTTGGATGCGCGGACATGGAGCGAAGGTGCCGCATTGCCGTTTGGTGAGCGGTTACCAGCAAACACTAAAAGGTCCGTCGACAATGGACAGAGACGTTGACGAGCAACGGATTGCTGCGGGCAGTCTAGCGGATGGTCGTCTCCTAGGGTGACGGAGCGGCGATCCAAACGCCATAGGCTGTTTGCATGTGGTGCATGTGCTGTGCATGGAGCTTATCAGGGCAGGCAGCGCGTTCAGAGCTTGAAATTGGGAGCAGCGCGCTCGGCATGTGAAGCTAAGATTTACAAGCAGCGGGAGAGAAGGGATCATGGATGGGGGAGCATGGCGAAGAAATGGTAGCCCTCGCCTGTCAAACCACACTGTGGCACTCCGCACGCGCGGGACAGGCCCTGGGTGGTGCAGTCACGGCGACACATTATGCGGGTAGCCACGAGCGTGAGCGCGACCGCGAGCACGAACAAGTGCGCTCGTCGACGACTTGCCCAGCTGTCCGTTGGCGGCAGGACAACCAGCAGCCAGGGCAGCAGCTTTCACTGAGCGAGCTTGCTTGCTTGCTTGCTTGATCGATGATGGTGGGCACGCTCTGGCCGCCTATGATCTCCACCCGGCCCTACTAGCGTAATTAGCGCCTGCCTGGCCTGGCACCACCGCGCTCCCCTTTTCTCGCGCCGCACCCCATTTGAATGACTTTCTGCCCTTCCTCCCTCAGTCTTCACCCACTTTCGCTCGCTACAGACGAACGCGCCTTCTCCATTGCGCCTCTGGGACTACTCCATTTAATACTGCCTGCTTTACTTGTTAATTCTTCCTCTCGCTCCAGCATCTTTCCACCACGACCAAACAGCCCGCCGAACCCACGCAACTGAAACCGAGCGAGTAGTCTTAATATCCCAGGTCCGTGTTGCCCAGTCCACATTTCTCAATCGCCTCTGTCGACGCGTCCGCTGACTTTTCCTCCCAGTTACCAACCCACGCCAACTACACAAAATGCCTTCCATGATGAAGATCGCCCTCCCTGCCCTGGCTGCTGCCAGCGGTGCCTATGGTACGCTCTACGAGACTCAATTAACTGCCTCGTTGCTTGCTAACAAGTCCGCCAGCTGCCTGCAGTACGTCTGCCACCATGACCATCCAGAACGCCGGTGACGCCAGCGCCATCGCCTCGTGCTCCACCTTCTCTGGTAACATCGCCATCGCGACTGGCACCACCGACGACATCTCCCTCAACGGCGTCAAGAAGATCGACGGCAACCTCGTTGCCACCGACAACTCCGACATGAAGCAGATCAGCGCCAGCGACCTCGAGGAGCTCGACGGAGAGATGCAGCTCGATGGCCTCACCCGTCTCTACGCTGTCAACTTCCCCAAGCTCAAGAGCGTCGACTCCATCAAGTGGAACGCTCTGCCCAACCTCCAGGAGATCGGCTTCACCGCCGAGGTCACCAAGGCCAACAAGGTCGACATCCAGAACACCGCTCTTCGCTCGCTCAAGGGCATCAACATCGAGGAGGTCGACACTGTTTTCATCGCCAACAACGGTTACATTGATGAGATCTCTATGCAGCTTGGCAACGTCTCGACCTCGCTGACTCTTGCCGACAACAACGAGGCCGTCAAGGTCGACCTGCCCAACCTCATCTGGGCTAGCAACCTGACCTTCCGATTCTGTGCTTCAGTCTCAGTCCCCTCCCTCGAGCGCTTGAACGGCTCTCTCGGTCTCTACAACAACGGTTTCGAGTCATTCGCTGCTCCTAACCTTACTTCCGTCGGCGAGGCTGTTGCCCTTGTCGCCAACGAGAACCTGTCCAACGTCTCTTTCCCCATGCTCGGCAAGATCTCTGGCAACCTCCAGGTCGCCAACAACTCCAAGCTCATCGAGGTGGATGGCTTCCCCGCTCTTAAGAGCATCGGCGGAGCTTTCGACATGAGCGGTAACTTCACTGAGTAAGTCTTGTTTGAATCGACTGTGTCGTACAATTTACTGACCCTTTGTAGCGTCTCTACCCCCAAGCTCAACAGCGTTTCAGGTGCCTTCAACCTCCAGTCCACCGACAACGTCACTGAGACTTGCGCTACCTACAAGCCCCTGAAGGAGAAGAAGCTCATCGAGGGTGGCTACAAGTGCGAGGGCAAGCTCATCGACCCCGCTGGTGAGGGCCACAAGGGCACCAAGCAGGGTGGCTCAGACGACTCCACTGGCGCCGCCTCGACTCTCAGCGCCGCCACTGGTGCTCTTAGCCTTGCTGCCATGGCCGCTGTTCTCCTTTTCTAAAAAGCTCATGACGCTGGCGTTCCTTAATTGCATAGACTACCCCTACCATCTGACTTTCTTTGATAGCGTATAGCATCAAGCGAGCAAGCGCTGACGTTGGAGTTCAGCATCTGAGGACTGAAGGGCTTCTGGGGACGGTTTCATGGTTCAGCATGTAACAATTGTATGTATCACTTGGCTACGAGGGTCGAGCAGACTGTTAATCCGCGGTACACTTAAGTCTGCTCCGCGATATGGAGTGCAGAATTGCAAAAGGAGTTGCTTTATTTGGGATAGTGGCATGCAGTCTTTCTCTTGAACCTTGCTCGTATTCTTCGTGATATGTGTCCAATTCTTGGTGCTTCGATATTTGCCAGTCATTGTAAACTTGTGTCTACTAAAATAAAATAAAAAAGACTTCCTTTAACTCTCACAATAGATCAGTAGCACTGAAACATGGCCATGTATCATATGTGACTGAGATGTTATCTTGAACGTTGTAGTCCCTTCGCCGTGATCGCCGTCTAAATATGAGTGTTTGATAGGAACACTCTAGACTACCGGACTCCATACAAACCTCACATCAGTTTCACCTTTGTCGAGGTCTCAACGAACCCGCAGTGGCTGGCGGCTCTGCTCTGGCGGTCAAAGTCACGCATGCGAGAAGGACAGTCCCATAAAGGCTCAAATCAAGGTTTGTCATGGCGAGTAGCTGCTTTCCAGGCGTCCTGAGGCGTATCACATGCGTAGTAAGACGGAAAGCGGGCTCTAACGTGCGGGCCGCAGTGGCTAAGTTCGTATAACAGATGACGTGGGTAAACAAATGGGCCTCTTTTGT